CTCTATGTTCATAGAGTTCCCAGGGGCACATGGTTTAGAAAGTGAACGTGACTCCTGCTTCCAAATCTGAATCAATCTGGAAGCTCCTCCATACATTGTGCATGATGGGTAACCATTATGGTATTTGACATGACTATGTTTAGCATCGCAGCAACTCCAAGTTACTTCAGTGCAGCAATTAGACAGATGACTCCTGTACCACTTAAAGAATGTTCATCCCAAAATGAATTAATTTGACCTGAGGACCCAATGGTATTTTAAAGACAGGCAAGCCCAACAAATGCTATTGACAGTAAATCAAGTAGACCCTCCACCCTTGGGTCGTGATTAGCTAAATCAGGCAAAAGTCCAGTCACCTGACATCCTCTTGTGTAGGATAAAAGCCAATAATAACACAACCAGAAACCTTCCTTACGTGATCCTCATCAAGATGCGAGAAATCATCTTCCAGAGTGAAACCACTACACAGGAGCCTCCAAGCCAGGTGTGCACAGAAACTTAGCTTCTGTATTATTCCTTTTCCCTCTCCCATTCTTTGTTATTATTGTTATTATAATCATTCAAATTACATCTTTATAAATTATATGCTTATCGGCACATTTACAAGTATCATTATTATTTACACCGTCTTATGTATTCCAATGTAGATGCCTTTACAGGTGCTCTTGATTTCACATGGATTTGAGTTACTATCTGGGGTTCTCTGGTTTCCATCTGAAGGACTCCTTTTACTGTTTCTTATAGGGCAAATGTGCTAGTAATATAGCTTTTCCGTTTTTATTTATCTAGAAATGCTATAATTTACTAATGATAACTTTGCTGTATACAGAGTTCTTATCTGAGAGTTGTTTGTATCTGAGATTTGAGATGTCATCCTAGTTCCTTCTGACCTTCACGGTTTCAGGTGAGTTTTTAGCTCATATTATAGGGAGATCCTGGTTTGTGAAAGGAGCTCTCATGGCCTCGTCCATGGAGTGTTGCACAACTGACCCACAGGTGGTACCTCTCTAGAAGTTCCAATCTACCAGCAGCTCCTTGGGAGAAAGAAGCAGCTTCCTACCATGTGATTTATAGCAGCTGAATACCCACTGGATCAAATAAATATGAGCTCGTTCCAACTTGACAGCAATGAGGTTGGTTGGTTGGTTGGTTGGCTGGTTTTCGGTTTTGTATGTGATACATTGTTTCGCTTCTGCTGCTTTAAGAATCTTTGTCTTTGGTTTTCAGGAGTTTAATTATCATTTGTTCAGCTGTGAATTTTTCTGTGTGTTTACCATATTTGTTCTTGTTTAAGCTACTTGTATGAGTTGATTGTATTTTTATCAACCTTTTGACCTTTAATTTTTAAAATATTCCCTTTGCCTTGTTCTGTTCTTCTCTCCTTCTAGGAATCTAATTATTTTATTTTGTCCCACCATCAGGTCTCTAATATTGCTTAGTTTTTGTCTTCACCCCCACTTTATACTCCTAAGATAGAGTAAACTTAATTACCCATCTTCAAGTTTGATGATTCTAGTCTCTGCTTGTTAAACTCTTCTTTTGAGCCCATATGGGTAATTTTTGCAATTTTCTCAGTATTACCTTTCAATTTCAGAATTTCTATTAATAAAAACCATTTCTATTACTCTGTTCTTATTCTCTACTTCAGAAAATCTGTTGTCAAGGACCTCTCCAAGGTTAAGGAGCAAAAGTGCACCTCATTCAAGCCATAGACCTTTTAGTTATTGATCCAGTTACTTGGATGTGAAAGTTGCAGGACCTTTCTGTCTGTGATACACCTGCCTCCATTACCCCAATCACTGAGTCAATTCATCTCATCCAGGGTCTTCCTCTTCTGCACTGACCCTCCACCCTTCCAAGCATGTCCTTCCTGACAACATGCCCAAAGTATGTGAAACAAAGTTTCAAAATCCTTGCCTCCAAGGAGCAAACTGGTTTCATAGGATAGGCCTGTTTGCTCTCTTGGCAGTCCAGAATATGTTCAATACTGTTCTCTAACACCACAACTCAAAGACATCAATTCTTCTTTTGTCATCCAGTCATTGTCCAGCTCTCCAGATGCATAGCAAGCAATTGAGAAGACCATAGCTTGGATCAAGCATACCTTAGTCTTTAGATTGGTATCATTGCTCTTTAGCACTCTGGAGAGGTCCTTGATGGCAGATTTTCCCAGTGACACTTATCTTTTGATTTCTTGACTGCTGGTGGAGGGGTTGTTGACTATGGAACCAAGAAAGATGAAATCTTTAACACCATCAATCTTTTCTCCATCTATCATCATGTTGACTATTGTCCTGACTGTTGAGGTGTTCTGTTTTCTGATGTTGAGATGCAATCTATACTGAGGAATTCAGTCCTTGATCTTCTGCAGTAAGTGCTTCAAGTCTTCAGTTTCAGTGAACAAGGTTGTGTCATCTGTATAATGTAGGCTGTTTATGAATCCTGATGCATTCTTCTTTATCAAGTCTCTAGCCCTTTTGATGATCTGTTCAGCATATCGATTGAAAAGTTATGGAGAAAAGATACATCTCTGATGTGCTTCTTTTTGACTGTGTTTCAGTATTCACTAGTTCTGTCTGGAAAACAACTTCTTGCTCTAGGCAACGGTTTCACCTGAGCACAATCAAATGCTCTGGGATTCCCATCCTTTTCACTGTTAGCCACAATTTGTTGTGATCCACACAGTTAAATATCTTTGCATAGTCAATGAAATAACAGGCATTCTTCTGGTACTCTCTGCTTTCAGGGGTCAGCTAACAATCGGATGGAGGTTTCCTTAACTATTCAGGACCATCACATCCCCCAGCATTGGCTGAGTGGTTCTGGATGAGTTGGAGCACACTTTCATCTCTGTTTTAGCTTATTTTTTGCTCATACAGAGCCTCAGTGTTAACTAGTAGATGAGTATAAGAGAACATAGTAGTTTTTAAAAAAATATAATTGTAGCCATTTACTATAGTCCTTATTGTCCTCTTTTATCTTTTGTCCTCATATGGAACTATTTACACTTTTCAAGACCAGTCATTTCTCACTGAGACTGAATTGATATGTAACCTGTTACTATTCCCCTGACTCTCTGTGTCATAGACCTTACAACCACTCCCATAAGTCCATGCTAAAAAAAGGAACAAACAAAAATATAGAGTGTCTTTGAATTTTAAAAAACCCCACACCCTATGGTTTAAGAAGGAAAAAGAAGCTTCTAAAAAAAATCAAAGCTGTCTAAATTTATTATAGTTCCCCCCTGAAGGTGAGATTCAAAGGCTGTCTGGATCAAAATTATTTGGGGTGGTTCTTAAAAATCTGGTTTCTAGGCTCCACATTAGACATTGTGTGTTAGACTATGCAGTGTGGTCCAGGCCTGTGAATCAAGCATCCTTCCCATGTGCGTATGAGAGACTCTTGGGAAGATGATCTTGTAGGTGCATTCATGAAAGGGGCTGAGCTGATCACAATGCAGACTTTCCTCAGATGTTAACCTCCCACTTTTAGTGCTTGAGTTATTTTTATTTCACTTTTTGTAAGATACTCAGTTCTACTAATTAGAGAGTTATTTGCCTTAATGGAGATTTTTTTTAATAGCTGCCAGAGTAAAAGGACATTGATAATTTTAACTTAATCAGATTGCATTTTTCCTAACAACTGGCCAAGATGGTTTGCAGTGGGAAACAGAAGAGTTTTTCTTTGTTTTGTTTATGCTTTTTGCTTTGAAGGTGGAGTAAGTAATTTTTACGAGACTCAGAATGTGTATAGAAAAAAAAATAGGTCCATATGGATTGATACCATAGAAAAGCCTAGGGGGAAAGATAGTATCGAAATCAGCCAATGGACACACTTGCCTGTTTTACAGTGTTGTTCCTGGGCTCACTGTATGGCCAGATTTAGGGGGAGTCTTTGTAGGGAGTTTCCTCTCCTTTTCCAACATTACCCTATTTTCTCAGTGTTAAGATTTAGGCCAGCACAGTGAGTATCAAAGAATTATATCCAGCTGTTTAAAAGTTAAGTAGGAGGCATTGATGGTTTCCTGATAGAATTCCCACTTTGTAGAAGGTGATGTGGATTGAACTCTGGCCAGTGTCCCTCATGCATCAGTCAGTGGAGACTTGTGTGTTCTACGATGCTGAAAGGTCTGGTGATAAGAGTTTTGAAAATCAGACGGTGAAAACTGTCTGGATCCAAAGAGTCCAATCTGCAGCCAATCACAGGGGTAGCTTCAAACTGGGCAGTATTTCCTTCTCTTGTGCATGTGGGTGCCAGGAACAGGGATTGACTCAATTCCAGCTAACAACAAAAGCAAGGGTTAAACAGGCTTTAATGGATGGAATAGAAAGCCGATTCCTGTCCAAAGCACCATGTAGAAAGTTTTTTCTACGGAAATATGTCGTCTAGGCTTCTGGTGGCCCAGTGGGTAGGGAGCTGCCAACCAAACAATGGGTATTTTGAATTCACTACCTGCTCTGTAGCAAAAAGATGGGCAATCTCCTCCCGTGTGATTTACAGCTTCTGAAAATCTACTAGAAGGTCAATTATGAGTCATTTCCACTTTGACAGCAGTGAGAATTGGAGAGCGAAAGAGTGTGCATGTTCAAATAAGGAACATCCTCATGAATTTTTGGATACAGCTTATTTGAGAATTGGAGACTGGGTCAAAGATAGGTGTATGTTAGTTCATCTGTGTTAACTTAAAGTTGAAGCTGATTACTACCAGCCACCTGTATAGTTTCAGGACATTTCTCTTGATGAGTTTTATGTTTAGATGATACAGATTCTGTCGAAAAACAACTTGGGGAGCATAGCTCATTATAAAATTTAGTACATTAAAAACAAAATGCAATTTTAAAAATGATTTGATGTTTTAGGTTTTCTTGCTCTAACTTGTCCCTGTTAATGAGAGTCACTGAAAGATCCCTCCCCTCCTTCCCATATATTGTTCTGTCTTACTTCTCCAGAATTTATCTACAAGGCCAGTAAATACTTTATTTATTTTTCCCCCCTTCAAGGTATTGCACAGAGATGCACAGCCATCAAGTACCACTTTTCTCAGCCAATCCGCTTACGAAATATTCCTTTCAATTTGACCAAGACAATACAGCAAGATGAATGGCACCTGCTTCGTAAGTATTTGGGAACAGGGTCAGAGGTCATTTTTTCAGAAGTGGTCTTTCTGGTTTAAAAAATATTTCCATTTGGGCTGAAAGATTCTGTGCTCATCACCTTGGACCTCTGGGCTCAAACAGAGGATCATTTCACAGTGATATAGACACAACTGTATAAACACAACTTCACATAAATGTACAAAGAAGTGTGTAGAAACTAGGCAGCAGACTGTAAGTCATCGCCATGCATGTGTCCACCTGGCGGAGCCTGTACACAGACAATCTACTGACGTTTTTATTTTTCTACCAAAATATCAGGTACAATAGCCTTCTCCACCACCAGTCATAGAAAACCAAGATTATACCTTAGACACTCTTATTTTTGTTTTGTTTATACAATATTTATTTTAGCTCCTGTGTCTATCTTAGAGCTCAGTGTTTCTGCTAAATGTCTTTATGAGTGAACGTTGTCATTTTCTCAGAGGGTGTCCCTTACCTGTACATCTCAAAGGCAGGAACTGCTCTTTTTCACTGTCAGGAAAATATGAAATTCTAGAAAGAATTACACAATATGAAACTGACGAAGGCTTATGTTTACCTTCACACTATTTGGACTGCCTTCTGATAGCCCATGGAAGCCAAATTGAAAGGGAATTCTTTCAGTGTTTACCTCCTCAGGAGTTTCGGTGGCATAGCCCATAGGGAGCGGTAGTGCTAGACCAAAGGCAGTGTCTCTTGGACAGTTCAAATCCACTTGCAGCTCCAAGATGGGCTGTCTCCTCCTGGGTGACTTACAAGTCTCAGAAAAACCACTGGAAAGTTAAACTTTGAGTCAGTTTTGACTTGATGGCGATGAGAGAGTGAGTGAATGAGGTTGATTATGATTTTCTGATGAGATATGCAGTCTGGAGCTCGCTGATCTAATTTGGTGACCAAAGTCATCACTGCAGAAATTCAAGCAGCATTTCACTGTGTACGTAAACTCTTCTACAGAGCAGTACAAAAGGCTCTGCTTTGTAGCTCAAACACATAAACAGAAGCTCTTATGCCATTGCCTTACCAGTGGTCTAATATCTACAAACATTATGATTGATAAATTTCAGACTAAAGTCATTACTGTAAAAAGAGGTTTGTTTCAACATAGCCTGACATCCTAGAATTTCTTCCTTGCTTGAGTTTAAGGATCATTTCTCAATAGATCTGTTCTTATATTAAGTGTGCTCTTGTATTCCTTCTTCATGAGCACACTTGGCACTTGGTATATTTTGTCTTAATCATTTTCCTAGAGAAACTTATAGTGTCTGGCTATGTGTAATGCAGAAAGATGGTCACAGAATCCTGAAAAAGAACCATGTTTCTTTACTCCAAGAACTTTTACCATGTTATTGCCCTGGAAGGAAGATAGCATTTGGTTGGCACATTTTGTGCTTGGCTCCAATGATGATCGGAACTCACAGTTCTTTGTACTGCAGAAGAAAGGCCTGCCAGTCTGTCCATAGAGATTATAGCAGAATGAATGTCATGAAGAAGTTCTGCTCTGTAACAAACAGCATTGTCATGAGCTGGGATCAATCAATGGCAACATATTGTTTCCTTTTTCGTCTTTTTCCTTTCTCCTTCTTCTTAGTACTTTCCTGGTGTTCTTTAGGAAAGACTTTTTTTTAATTATTTTTTTAGGAAAGACATTTTGAGCAGCCTCAGACATGGTTTCTTTTCAGAACATCCTTCTTGGTGACCTATACTATGTCTACTGGATAAGCCTGATGTGTGGTGCTAATGTGACCCCCTCATGGATTGTATCTGAACCCTGCGCCTTTTAATGGTCACAGGAAATGGAACCCTGAAGGGATTCAGGAGGTCGCAAGATAATAGTGGCTGAGCTGTTATTACATTTCCCCTGCTCAGATGTGGATGTCTCAAAACTACTTACGCCCTTAACATTCAGCCTAGCCTTTCTAAATGGTTGCTGCCTCTGGCCCCTTGCTCTGTGGTATCCATATCCTTCCTTTTCTAGGCAGAAAATGCAGAGATGCATCACTTTACTTTGCATGCTCTGAGCTGGAAAGGAGGAATCCCCTTATTAAAGAAGATAGAGAATCTGTGTGAGGCTAGGATGCTGAGTCAGAGTAGAAGCTACTGTCATTGCCTTCTATGTGGCACCCCTGCGACACCTGGAAGTCATAGCTACAAGCCTGAGCTCCTTCCACGTTGACAGAGAAGCCCACCCTCCCCCAGCTGGTGAGAAGCTATGTCTGGCATCCGAGCGCTGCCAGGGGTGCATGATCCTTTATCTTCTTGCATTGACATTGGCCCAGACCTGCTGACTGGCTGCCCTTAGATCAGCAGATGGGTATTTGGGATCATTTTAAAAGAAGACTGTAGACCTTCAGCAAATACCTCTTTATGGTTAGTTTTGCACAAGAAACTATGAACTAAGAAGGAAATAGAAAAAAAAGAGAAAAGATATTAGTAGGAGAGTAGGATCTAATTTTGATGCAGCTATCAGAGCAGATGTATGACCAGGCGCATGTCAGTCTACCAAGGGGTAGACATGTCAAAGCCAAGGGGTTTTGCCCCGGTGTGGTGTAGAGACTGAGTTCCTGGTTCAGTGAACACATTTCTGCTTTTGCAATAGACCCATCTCTACAGCTGGATCTACCAATCTGTCTAACCCATGGGAACAGTCTCTCCTTACTCTGTGTAAAGGGGATCTTTAGTAGCCTAGTCATAAGAAGCTAAATTGCAATCCCAAAGGAAAGTGGTTCAAATCTACCATCTGCTCCTTGGGAGAAGGATGAGAAATTTCCTCCTGTGTGATTTACTGCCTCTGAAAGCCTGCTGGAAGATCAGCTGTGAGTTGGTTCCAGCTCGACAGCACACAACAATCCTGTGTAAATGGGTGCTTAATTGTGGGACTTGTGGGGTGTTTTTGGGTGGGAGCATTTATAAGATGCCACTTATCTGTAAACTGGGCCACTGTCTTAGTCACCGTGATTGTCTACACTGTGTCAAATATTTTTTGAAAATAGATACTTGTTACTGTTGAGTTGATTCTGACTCCAGACAACACAATGCGACAGGGTAGAGCTGCCTCATGGAATTTTCTGAGCTGTAATCTCTACAGCGCGGGTGACCACATCTCTTTGGTTTCAAACCACTGAACTTGCTGTCTGCCGCTAAGTGTGTCACATACTGTACTATCAGGGCTTCTTTGAAAACAGGTAGAAAAGCCATTTGTATATACTAACCCATTTGCCATTGATCCATTCTGACTCACAGTGACCCCAATGGGTTTTAGAGTAAAATGGCTCCACAGAGATTTCAGTGAATGATTATGTGGGGACCAGGCTGCCTCTGGACCAATAGGCAACATTATGTTTGCTGGAGAAAAGATTGAAGTTGTCAACATTCTCAGTTACTTGGATCTGCAATCAGCACTTATAGTAGCATCAGTCAAGAATTCAAAAGACATGCATACCCATGTTTGTTGCTGCGTTATTCACAATTGTGATGAGATTGGAGCAACTCAAGTGCCCATCAACAAAACAGTGGGTAGAAAAATTATGGTGCCTTAACACGCTGGCGTATTATCCAGCACTGAAAAACAATGGACTTGTAAAACATTATACAACATGGGCAAGTCTGGAATACATTATATTGAGTGAAATATCTCAGTCACAAAAGTACAAGTACTTCAGAACACTGCTGTTATAAAATAGTACTGACATGGAGGAGAGAATGGGAAAAGAGTGGCTAAATAACGGACACTTCATTAAATCAGAAAAAGGGAAGAACTATTTGAAAGGGATTATATTAGGCAGTATATGTATGACAATAATCTGGAAGAAGGGTGCATTGTGGGGAGGGCTGGTGGAGGGAGAGAGGAGAAGAAGAAAATGTGCAACAATTAAAAATATTAAAATAAAATACTTTCAGTGTAAAAATTATTTGCTTTGAGAAAATCTGCTGTCAAGGACCTCTTCAACTGAAGAGTAATGATGTCAGTTTAAAGACTAACGTGCACCTGATCCATATAATGGGTATCTTCACTGACTCCATATGCATCTGAAAGTTGGACAATAAATGGCAGAAGAAACACTGCCTTTGAGTTGTTATGTGAGAGAGGAGTAGTGAACGGCTCATGGATTGCCCAAAGAACAGACAACTCTGTCCTGGAGGAAGTGAAATCAGGGTGTTCCTTAGAGGCAAGGATGGTCAGATTTAGTCTTACATACTTTGGGCATGTTGTCGGGGGGGACCAGTTCTTAGAAAAACACATCATGCTAGTAAAGGTGGAGAATCAGAAAAAGTGTAAGACCCTCAACAAGCTGAACTGACATGGTGACTATAACAAAGGACTTGAGCATGCTGGAGATCAGAGGATGGTGCAGGGCAGGCAAGATGCAGATCAGTTGTTCACAGAGTCATTTTGCATCATAGTTAACTCAATGACACAAAATAACAAGATTGCTAGCCTTTCCTCTAAGATGGCACTGTGTGGATGGAACCACCTAGCTCTTGGGCAGTCAGTAGCCATGCACTTAACCATTTGCATTGCTTAGGACACCTGAAAATAGGTAGGCATATATGTAAATGAAAACTAGAATAATTGGCATCCATAGCACTCATGTCAAACCATATTTCATTCAGTAAAGCTCACTGTTGAGGTTTTTTTCTCCAAAGCCAGCCTCACCTACATTCGTACAGTTCTCTTGATCATAGCAAAGGTCCTCCCACTGCCTCACTCTCAGTTGACTAATGATTATGTTTGCCCTGGGGCTGCACTCTAGTCTATTCTCTGTTTGCTGTGAATTTCCTTGTAGACTCAGAGTGGGAGGACCCTGACCCCTAATTTGTCACAGCCGTCTGTCTGCCCTGTTAGGGAGTAATCTGGGAATGAATCCCCTGCACCACCTTGGCCATGCAGACCCCCAGTCTCCCCATGTTGTTGTCATGTCCCCATCGAGTTACCCACAGCTTTATGTAAAACAGCTCTAATCCTACCCTGTCCTGAGCTACTCTCACTGACTCTGCCACACCAACCCCCATTGCCCTAGTCACTGTATCAACCCATCTCATTTGGGGTCTTCCTCTCCTGTGCTCTCCGTCAACCCTTCTGAGCATGATGTCCTTCTCCAAGGACTGATTCCTCCTGGCCATATGCCCAAAATATGTGAGACGGAGCTTGAACATCCTAGCCTTCAAGGAGAAACTTGGTTTCACCTTCTCCGAGGTAGACCTATTTGTTCTCCTAGTGGTCCATGGCAGTCTCCCAAATGTAGCTTATGAGTTTTCACACATATATTCAGAGTTCATCCTTGTCTAATTTGCAACCACTTTTCTTCTCTTTTGCATGTCTGTTTCTGTTTGGAGACCAGATTTAAGAAGAATCACTGCCGGCTTCCTGGGCATGGCGGTGGCCGTCCTACTGTGCGGCTGCATCGTGGCCACGGTCAGTTTTTTCTGGGAGGAGAGCCTGACGCAGCACGTGGCTGGGCTCCTCTTCCTCATGACAGGTAGGCTGTTCTGGCAGGCTTCCACTGCATGGGGGTACGTTGCTCTCCCTGTGGGCAGTGTCTCTGTCTCTGTGTCCTTTCCAGTTAAGTTTGATTCCACTTGTGACAAGACCAAAGAAAGGTCTTTGATTTTATAATATAGAATTTAAAGAAAAGAACAATATTACAAATGTAGCCTTTATTTTCCCATGTAACCTAGCATGAGGTTAAATGCCTTGAGTGCAACCTATATATAAACTGTGATTTTTTTTTTTAAATCTTTCAAAGGGAAGCTCTAGTTGCATAGATCACAGCCTTTAGACTGTGCGTCTCTGGTAGTCTGAATCAACCAGCAGCCCTGAAAGAGGAATATGGTCAGTCTCCTCCCATGTGATTAACAGCCCTTGGTTCTGATGTGATAGTGATGAGTTTGATTTTTTTTAAATTGCTTAGAATATACCCTAATCTTGAATAAGTGAGGTCTGATGATGTTGTTCACAGGGAGTTGTCCTGCTAATCCAAGGGTTGCATCTCTCTGGTGGTTCGAATCCACCAGTGGCTCCTTGGAAGAAATCTAGGACTTCTCCTCCTGTATGAGTGACAGTCTCTGACACTCCATAGTGGGCAGTCAGGCCTCTGGCAATAAGCTCAAAGGGCATGTGTAAGTGATGGCATTGTTTTATACATATGAAGCATTTGTTCTTTCACTCCATAGACCTTGGTGACCTAATGGTAAGAAGCTTCCCTGCCAACCTAAAGACAGACAGTTTGAATGCACTTTGGAAGAAAGTTGAGTAATCTCCTCCCAAGAGGTTTACTGCCTCTGAGAACCTGCTGGATGCAGGAATCTGTTCTGATTCGATGGCACATAACAACCGTGTACTGCTCTCTTAGAACTACCAGTTGCTGTTGAGTTCACTCTAGTTCTGGTGACCTCATGTTTGTCTAAGAATTAAGGTTTATTAGGGTTTTCAGTGGCACAAACTCTCTTATAAATGTACCAAAATGATGTTAATCATAGAACAGAGTTCAAGTCTTCTGTGCAAAGCTTAATGAGTCATATTTGACACTACAACACTTAATCACTGCTAAATGAGACTAGTGCTGTTATATCTGGAGGAATATTCTTCCACTTTGCACATCACTCTTTGTCAATGTGCTGTATGAAGTATCCTGGGTTTGCTGTGATGCTGAACCTTGTGCCATGGGGATATCAAATACCATAATAGTTTGCCATTGTGGCCAGTGTTTGGTGGAGCTCCCAGTTGTGAAACAGGTTGGGAGGCAGGAGTGGCATCCACTTCCTAAAACACATGCCTCTGGAAACTCTATGAACTTGGAGAACCAATGATAGCTATGGAAAGCATTAGGTCTTTTGTTCATAGAGTCACTATGAGTCAACCTCAACTCAACGGCAATCAGCAACAACAACACAATGATTTTTCAGAAGTAGATTGCCAAGGCTTCTTTCCAAGTCACCTCTGAATGGGCTTGAACCTATAACCTTTGGGTTAGTAGCCACGGACTTGTTTGCACCACCCAAGAATTTCTGTTTGAGTACGACTAGACACCCTTAGTGACCAAGGCAGAAAAAAATTCTTGCCTATTCTGTGTAGGGAGGTATAAATAAACAATAATTTGTGATAGTGATGTAAGATATGAAGGTGATACACAGGGTAGAGTAGAGGTCTCATGGATGGCCATGTGGAGACAAAGACTTCTGTGCTGAACTCTGAGAAGCAGGCAGTCCTCAGAAGGGTCCTTCAGGTTGATGGCAGGTCTGGGTGTGATGTGAACCCCTGGCTGACCAGTGCAGCTGGTGAAGAGCAGGACAGCATCACAGGGAGGTGAGAGGAGAGGCAGAGCTGCTCTAATGACGCGTTCGTGGTCACAGTGAAGAGCTTGGCTTTTAATCTGGATGAGGGAAGCCACTGGAAAGTTTAAACCGCAGAGTGGTTTGATCTGAAAGCTGAATGTGGGTAGCAATGTGCAGAACCTTTTTGATTAACAGGTAAAGGCTATGTATGCCTAACAAGGAGTCAGGAGGCTGGAGACAGCTAAGCTGACTAAGGGACAGGGCAGAGAGAGAATCTTTCCTTGCTCTTTCTGAACGAGTGGCCGTCCAGAGGCAGGGTTTTTGTCTTCTTTGTGGGAGACACAATTTGATTCCTGGCCAGTGTTCCCAGGTGCCACTGTTACCTGTCTGAGGAGGCTTCCACAGTGGAGGCTTCTGTGATGCTCGACACGTGTCAGCGGGGCATCCAGATACGACAGAACAGGAGGGTGGGCCTGCTGAGCTGCTGCTGAGAATCAGCCGCTCAAAACCCTGGGTAGCACAGTGGTCCAGTTGGTAACTGAAAGGGCTGGTGTGGGACCAGGCTGCAGGGGATGCTGTTGGGCATTGCAAAGCCATCAGCCGGGCACGCTGGATGGCAGCTAAGAGAAACAGATAATGAGTGAATGTCAAACCATCTTGCAATGTGCACCTGACACCTGAATCAGTGTTATATCAGGCATGTCGTCATTTTAATACAGTGTGTCCACTGGAGTTGTTACTCAAGTGGCCAGGGCTGGGTTTTTCACTGTCACAAGCATCCTAGTGGTGCAAGAACTGAAAACTTGGATGCTAACCAGAAGGTTGATGGTTCAAACACACTTAGCAGCTCCACAGGAGAAAGACCTGGCAACCTGTTCCCATACAGATTACAGCCTGTGAAACCCTGTGGGCTGTTCTAATTTGTCACATGGAGGGCTGTGAGCCAGTTGGAAGCAAGTCGACAGCACACAACCACACAGGACGCCTCTATGGCTGACACTGCATACTGCCTGCCCCTCTCAGGGCTAACTGGTAGGCCTGATGTGGTCAACTCTGTGGTGGCACTGAAATAACCCAGCTCGCAGGCTGAGCTCTCCCTCCCACTGCCCATCAGCCCTCTTCCTGGTCCATGAAATAACTCTAACAGGCAGTGATCCGGAAGATGGGTCATCATCCCGAGCATCTTGACAGAAAATTCAGAAATGGAGCCTGAAGAGTGCCGGCAGAAAACCAATTTAGGTTTCTAAGATTCTGGTGAAGACAGTGATTGCATATACAGAGGCTAAAATTCTTATTCCTGAGGTTTGGGAAGAGGTTTTGAATCATCAGGTCCCCCTGCCTGGAGGATTCATGCATGATCCAAATCGAAGTGTGCCCACGCAAAGGAGGAACACTTAGTAACCGGCAATCAGCGAGGGCCTAGGTCCAGGGGATTCAGTGAGCATCTGCTGAGTCCAGTTGTTGTTGTTGAGTACCATCGAGTCAGAAACAACCCACAGCTGACTCTCCAGTGGGTTTTCTGAGACACTTAATCACACGGGAGGAGATTGCTCATCCTTCTACCATAGAACAGTTGGTGGATTCAAACAGCGTGCCTTTGGCATTGCAGTACATTTTCTTACTGCTAGGCCACCAGTGCTCACTTGAGTCTAATTAATGATTGTTAAAAATGTTGCCATTGACCACATGCCTAGTCCATTGTAGTCTGGAAGCTCGCTGACACCTACTCAGTGTCATCGCAATGTGCAAACCTCTACTGACAGGTGGTCGCTGTGCATGAGATGCATTGCCTGGGACCGAACTTTGCACTTCTGTCTGGAAGATAAAAATCCCACGACTGAACCACCCACTGCCTTTACATTGGTCATCAGAGCAGCATTTTTTGTGAAAGGGGCAGAGGAAGGAAAGACTTCTTCCCTCTTTTTCTTTCTTCTCTTTATTAGCTGGGTGGTGTAGTCCACAGGAGTCACGTTGCTAACCCATAAGCCAGGCCTCTCTGTCAGTTCAGATTCACTCGGGCTCCACAGGAGTGGGAGTCTCCTCATGTGTGGTTTACAACTTACAGCCTCCGAGTCCCACTGAAGAGTCAGCTATTAGTCAATGACAATGAGAAAAAAATTAAAAGTACCCTCTTAATCTTGACCCAGATCCCTATACACATCAATGAAGTACCGACTGTCTCAGATTTACTGGCCCCAAAGTTTCCCCACATTCATTGCTTTTTCGGAAAAACAAGGGCAGCTGGACAAAAGCTTCTGAAGGACCCCCCTCTTTACAGGACACTTAATATAGGAAATGCATGAATAATTTAGGATGTTATTAGCTTATAAAACAATTGTTGCCATTAAAATAAATCACAGGGTCATAAAAGCCTTGCAGAGAGAGTGTATCTTGGGAGATGGGGGTGCTGGTTTGGTTTTCAGTGCAAGAAGGATGGGAGTTCCTCCTAGAAACCTCAGGGATGATGCTGGCAAACAAAGAAAAGGACCCGGAGTCTTGTTTCTGAGGTCCTTTTTGCCCTCCTCTGGCCTCAGTCCTCCTTTCTGTTCCCAACTTAGTGGCCCTTAATATTTTTATCCCTGAAGAGAGCTCTGGTGGCCTAGTGGCAGGAAGCTGCAGTGCAATCCCTGAGGTGTGCAGTTCAAATCCACCAGATGCTCTTCTGGAGAAGGAGGGACAATCTCTTCCTGTACCAGTCAGACCCGATTTGATGGTACATGCACAAAAAGTAAAAAAGTAAATTTCTTTTTTAAAAAAAATATTTATCCCTGAAAGCAATTCTATGCCATTGTTATATGAACAAAACCAAAACAAAGATACAAAACCAGCAGCCCCAGTCACAAACTTGCACCACAAACAAAAAAAGTAAATGCTCCAAATATATCAACTATGAGCATACGGTCCTGAAGGAATGCAGACACAGTATACAATTGGCCAAACAATAAAGGGAAATACTGCCAACTGAACAATTGTGTTCTTTAGAAATTGTCCTTATTCTGGACCAGATCTTGCTCTTGTGCCTCCATCAGTGAAAAGGAAAGAAAACATTGTGGCCACGGCATATTGTAGAAAATATAAGATAGAAAATATCCCATCCTCTCCACTCCCCTTCTCTTACTACCAGTGTTCCTCCCGTTGCTCCCTTGTTCTTGCACTCACAGTTTTCAATAGCTTCATATTCTCCCATGGAGTGGCTGCACTGTGT